TAATATATAAATAAATAGGTTATGAGGTATCCTTAATTAACAGCATTCTGAAAGAGCCACACTCCAAGATCCAAACGCTAAGGGAGGTATCACAGATAGTAAAAGCAGTATTTGTTTCAGTGGCTTGATTAATGAAAGTCATATCAATGTCATGTGTCATGGGAAACACATGTAAAGTGAGAGCCACTTACAGTCCACGAGCCTGCCTGTGCGCCACTTTACAGCACTTACAGTCTGCTCTGGTTTCTAATGGTCCACATTAACCCTTGGAGTCTCCCTGTGCATGTGTGCACACAAATGTGTGTCAGTTTAGTGACAGACAGTGAGAAAATGAGTCGGGAAGGCAAGAAGGCGGATAAGGGCAACTGAGATTGAAAAGCGAAAAGAACAAGAGCACGAGGAGCATAATTAATCGCGGCAAATGCGCGCGTGTCCACGTGCGCTTCTTATCTCTGCCGTACAGAACATCTTCAACAGACTAGTGGTGTGGCGAGGTGTTCGTATTTACATCCATACACACGAAAGTAGTGAAAAAACTCAGTCATTTACTCAACCATTTATCTTCAAAGAGAGAATCCACAAGGAGACAGACAATTCGACAATTTATTTAACTTGAACAGAACATTGTACGGCCTTTTTCTGCTGACATGTAAATCTACTGGAAGTAAACGCACGCTGAAACGCACACACACAAGTCGGGCTGGACTGTGTTTCCCAGGCTCCTACATTAGTGCTCACGTTGAATCCCATTTGTCCTCACATCCTGTCAGCAGGCATTTATCTGGAAAGGTTAGGTGCACTATTCTCAATGTGCACAGACAATTCAGAAACATTTTAGCTCACTTGAAACTGATAATAATGATGCTTTTCCAGTCTTATTGACATCACAGAGTGCATGCTGCTGCAAGGTACAGTCACACATTCTTATACACACATGATGACCCGGTGATCAGACCACTACTCAGAGGACAACCTGCTCTACATCATGAGCCACAGCTGCCAGAAAAAGAGGACGTGGCCACGCTCACTGCTTAAAGACCTTTGATAAAATACCAGACAGCCACTTGTGCTGGTATTCATCCAAGTTAAAGAAGAAGTAATGGAAGTTCCTTAGTAACCACTGCAATTGGTTTCAACTGTAAATTGCTCACAGATCTCCATCTGAGAAAGGTTTCCTGTCTTGTTTAGAGTAAAATATGGTTTTAAACACTGAAACGTAAACATTAACTTGATAATTCAAACTTAGGGAACATAGTTGGCTATTGGCCCAGTATATCTAAAAATATCAGAACTGGTTAAGCTGTAAAAAGACAGAGGTCACGGGTCACTCACTGCTCAAGGCTAAAGTATTTATGGAGGCTCTACTCCAGTCCACAGAAACCCTCGTACAGAGAGACAAATACATGCATTTAAATACATTACACAGCTGATAGTAGCAGGACATTTCAAAATTAGTAAGCATGTGTGCCCATCCTTTTTCCATATTACTTGCTGAGCAAAATCCAATATTTTCTATCCTCTGTCACACGTGTGAGGCACACAGACACAACATGTCTGCAAGATTTCATTGTAGCTCGCAATATCTTGTGAGCGGCACGATGTATGGGGAGAATGTGTTTACTTTTTGTGAGCGAGGGAGTCTAAATCTTTCATATTATTATTACTATCGATTCTATACAGCCGTGCTAGCATTTCATCAGAGGCTCATGGGAACGGGATGAAAGATGGATTATCCATTGCATGTGATCTCCACATATCTATTGTGTATGCTTGTGCTCATTTTGCAGCCCCATCAGCACCACAAGAGCAATTCCTCTGAGCAAACATAACCAAAGAGTTGACTGACTGCGTAGATGCAGAGAAAAAAGAAGACAAACAAACCTGATAAGACAAGCTCGTCCTCTCCCATGAATCATCAAGCTCTCGTTCTCAACTTAGTTATGTGACCTCTGTGTACATGTATCTGTGAGCATCACCATTTCGCAATGAGGCTCCGTACACAGTAAGCTGCCATTTTGCACCTTCAGGTACATAATTTATACCTGGTTATGGTATGTCATTAGCGAGCTATAATGGTGAAAGCAAACAGCTGCTCTACTGAAAACATGCTGCCTCTGCATAAAAGACAGACAGGCTGTGTTTGCTCAGAATATCAAGCTTCTCTCAGACTCTAAGGGGGAAAAAAGATCAATTAATTGGCTACAAGCTGTTATTATATTGGCATATGAAAATCCATTGGTTTACCTCTAGTAGCAGGAAGAAGATGGCCTGTCAGGTAGGGATGTGTAAACGGCTGACAGATCAGCATCTGTTTCCTTAGACAGACGTGATAGATTGACGTGGATTGGGCCTGACTCTGATCCACTTGTCTGATGAGCTTGTCTGATGAGCTGTCTGGGATTTAGCTCTTTCCTCAATGACCATCAATCCTGACAATCTCTTTCTGCATCGTGTGGTTATCACCCTTCCTTAATTGTCTGTCTCTTTGTTTACCTGCCTTACTTATGATTGTCCATCACACTTGTCCTCATCTACTTCATCTGCATGATCACACTGAACCACCTGTCTATTGTGTAACAAAAATACACGCCTTCCAATGTGATTCTTAGACTACACAGGTATGTGGCTGTGGATCAATCTAGTCTGATCTATTTTCTTGCGTTTGCCTCTTCTTCTTTCATTCTGGGGCACTTGTGAAGCAATTAAATTTGGAATGAAACTTACTAAGAGAGTGCTGCCATGGCACGTTGAGCCAGATTTAGAAGTTGCTTTGTTTAGCGTTCGTTTGGGCAATGAAGCCAGAATGCGAAAGCCAGAGAGGAGGACTGAAGCTGGCAAGAAGACTGTGGGAAAGTAAGAAACCCCGGGAGAGAGAGAAAGGGTGTATATGAATGAGTTGGAGTTAAAAGATCTATAATTGGGTGGGCGGCAAGGCAATATCGTGGTGGAGTACGGTATAAGTGGCTCATTTTTCTTACAATTTCTTAGACAAGAAGCTCAATGAGAGAGGTTTACTCTCTCTCTCTCTCTCACACACACACACACACACACACTACTCCACAACTGCTGTCGTACTATGGAGTACACAGAGTAATGGACTGCAGTTCCCCCCTGTTTTTCTCTCTTGCAGCCTCACCTCCTATAGCGAAAAAGCAATGGACAATATCAGCACTGGAAACCGAATGACCTCTACTGCAGGCGCACAGCAATCCAGAGACAGGCCAGCAAGGAAATAACATGTGACTGCAAAGGTGAATGAGGACTGGGAGGGAAGTGGAAAAGGAAAGGCAGGCAGATACAACCAGAAGAGACACTGGAGATTCACATCTCGATAGAGACAGCGAGAGAGGGAGATATAGAAGGCTGTGGACAGGCAGAGATTTGACTGCAGAGAGCTCCTCTGCAGTAAGTGGTTATTGATCGTAAGACAAGGGCCCAAAGATTCCTCGGCTAGGGAAATTGCACAGGATGCTGAATTTTTTCCTCCTTGTATAAGAGCAAAGGCGCTGAAAAGCACAACACGATATGCACTTCAAAGCAAGAAGAATCTGTTTAAGATCAGCATATAAAACTGTACATCAAATAGCAACATCCATAAAAGATTAACAACATTATTTACAACATTAATAACAATAATGAAACAATCAGCATGAACTCTGTGCATTGACGGTGCCACGTGGGCACTAAGGAAGAACTCTGACATATCTGTGACCTTTTCAGTGCTAATGATCAGAGATGGCTGTGGCTGTAACAGTAGTCAGGACAAAATGAACACATACTGCTTTGAGCTTTATATGCACTGTGTGTGCACAGACACACACAGAAGGATGTCAAGAGTGGAAAGATCACATCGGTCTTGTTCTTTCAATCCAGATATGAGTGATGCAGGTGACCTTTGAAATGAAAATCTAAACACACACTCTCTCTCACACACACACACAGACAAAAGGAAGCAACTTTTCACGTAACCAAAGTGAGGCCATGTTGATGCATACATTGACATCAAGTGGTCTTACCAGCCTGAGTGTGCCTGGCTCTCTGTACTTAAAGTATAGGATACTGAGAAAAGCTTTTTTGGTACTCATACTCCATGTGTTATTTTATTTTCCCTACGGCTTAGTCTGTGTGGAAAGCATGGTGAACTAAAACAGAAAAAAAAATATATATATATATCTATATATACACACTGTGTATGGCATGGAGTCCACACCAGTCTTTTTTTTACAGAGATGTGAAAACATTCACATGTGAGGGCATTCTCAAAGCCCATGTTAAGTTTGTAAGTGTGGCTAATTCTGTCCTGCCAACTCGAGCCATTCAGGAAAGATTTGTTCACAAGTGAAGGGAAAGGTTGATGACTGGGAGAAGTAAGTCATTACTGCAGTCAGTCTCACAGTTGTCATGTTTCTCTCACTCTGAGAGGCTGGGTGATGCCACTGTGTTGCCACAATAATATATTGAGTTGCCAGCCCTAGTAATAGTACACACAGTATCATTATACAAAAAACCCCCCAAATAAAAACAAGTGATGTATTGCTTTTACTAATGAACAGGTCATTGAGCCCTTGGGAAATGTTGTTATTTTAATAATAACTGTTCCCATGGCCGAACGCCTACCAGTTATGGACTTGTAGCACAATCTTATGATCATTTGTAAACTTCTACTTACTGCCAATCACTGTTTACTTTGGTACATACAGTGTTTATTATTTCAATATTCTTCAACACGTTTAAAATCATGGCACCAGAAAGAGCGATGTTGGAAAAGTTGTGATTTTAACAAAAGAACAGCTTATTGATTCAAGATAGGCTCATTCGATATTCTGATGGCATTCTGGCAGAGTAAGCATCACGTTATCAACACGGGCTTCTTCTTTAGGGCTCGTGTACGGTCATGTGGGTCAAGCCAGAGTGTAACTGGGCTATACAAACAACAATTTCAATTCCATCAAGGCAATCGCTGTCAGCCTTTCCACAGTAAGCAAAACAGCGAACCTTACCCTTTGATTCTTTGAGTTATTCATCCTAACCAAAGAGAAGCACTCCGCTCTCCTCCAACTCTCCAAACTGGAAGCACGGGGGCTTTACGCAACAGCAGGGTCCGTTCAGCGTCTCGCACACGCACAACGTGAAAGACCTCAACTCAGTTTTTCCCTTTGAGGGACCTCCATTTATGGGCAAGATGAAATATCCACTGAAAAGCCGAAAATAGGTACCGCTAATTGGCTTTGGAAGTTTTAAGGATCCGCGCAGAAACCACAAAGCTCGCTGGTTTTGGTGGGAGAACGAATGGCGGTCATATGTTTGAGCCCGTCTGCGCCGTCTTCATTCCCGTCACCGTCTTCATTGTCGCTGTCCGAGTAGCTCCGCTGCTCCACTCGGGACTCGCACACACACACACACACAACATCACCAGCACAAGGGAAGGATGAAGACTGACCGGCTGGTGGACCAACCGAGAGCCGCTTCTGAGGAGGCGGGTGTGTGTGTGTCTGTGTGTAGCTGCGCGCAGAGAAAAGTGAACTGTCATTTTAAACCTCCGCGGGTCCCTTGGGAGCAGCATCACAAGGACACTGCCATGGGGTAATGACAAAAAACGACTTGCGTATTTGCCCCCACCAAAAAATAAATAAATAAATAAATAAATGTTTGCGGGAATTTCAATTATTATGAATTACTTGTTGGCCTATAAGCTGTTGGCTTGTAATAAAAAATATTTAAATAAATCTGTCAGACATATCTCTAAAAAAACCGTTCAGCAGTTTGTTGTCATGAAATGCAGAGGCCTCTACGCAGACACGTATTTCTTTTCCAATGGGACTCTTCCAAAATCTTACAAAATATTTAGAACTAACTGACAAGAGCAGGATTTTTTGGCAGCTCCAAATTTGGCCAAAAAGTTAAAGTGGGTTGTGTGTTCGTAAAATCTAACGTGGCTGCTTTGTGCCTGCACCGCCTACACGGTGGCAAAGAGATTTTTTCTCTTTTAAGTTATGACTCAACTTTTTTTTTTCACAAGCACTGTCAATATGCTGTTTTGGACTGTTGCACAGCACAGACAAAACATCCATCTTCTCTCATGTCCTTGCTTCAGCAATTCAAATAGTGAGTGGTTATAAGAGTCAGGATACATTAATAACAGATTTTTCAAGAAAGCAGAATAAAGGAAAAAGTCACACAAATCCTTTGTTTTATTTTATGAACTGCTTGCAAAGATTTCGAGGGCACGAAACTGCTGCTGCAAAACCTCCACAGAGCTGAGACATACTGACAAATGCAGCCTTTTTAGTTCAGCATATAAATGGAATGAATTTCATTTATATGCAGCAGGTCACTCTCTGATAAGAGGCACAGTCACATTTATGTATGCTATTAGAACATTATGCAATACTATTTAGTATTAAAAAAAATGTACTACAGACACTCTACTACTAGCATACCATAAATTATTGCACTAATGAGCTGCTTAATCTTAACTGTAGCTTGAATTTTTCAATAAAGGCATCACAATGTGGATAAAATAACATTAGCTGGCAGCCAACACAAGCAGACATGCATGTGTAACTCCACTGACAGAGCAATTTATCAATTTGGACAAACTAAAAAAAAACAAGTATGGTTCTCCCTCTGCATTTTGTCTTTGCATGCCTGCCACTGCCTTTGCTCATTGCTTAACCCATGCAGGCACTCTGGGAAGTTGTGGAGCAGCGGAGCGCATCACCTTGTCAGCTGATGATATATGAGAGTGATTTGTGGGCCGACGGAAATGGAAAACACAGATGAGTCCAGCAAGAATTAGGTGTGGGAATAAAGCGAGGGTGCATCGGCTAACTACTGAGTTAGGCTCCAGGAAATCCACGCTGCTAAACTAATAATAGAACGTTCAGGATGTTTTTTATTTGTTAAAACACAAGGAGGATATTATGAAACTGTATATCTGCAGGAAATAAACAGAGATCATCAAAAGTGGCCCTAGTTTTGTTTTAATATTTTCCGAGATGCCAGAGCAGTGGATTGGATACAGTCTCGGGGAATGAAGACAAAAAAACGCAGTTGTTTTGTTATGTGTTATTTGTGGGAGGGCTGAGAAGTGGAATGAGGCATGCAGTCAGAAGATGCAGCAGATGACATGTAGGAGGATTGGGATGGAGGAAGAGAGAGTCAGTCTGTGGGCAGTCTTGGCTAATAGCAATAGAGCAACAAAGTCCATTCCAACAGGGCAATGATGCATCTGTGCATCTGGATGGGGGACTACAGCTCTTTAGCTCTAGCTGAGGACATTTGCTGTGGGAGCAGAGGACACCCCCACAAAAGCCGAATGCACCACGTACCAAACAAATATGTGACCATACCCATACTGTACTTAAAATTTGCCTCCAGTCCTCTCATCTCTCTGTGAGTTTAGTCTCGTGCAACAAAAACAAGATGAGCCTTGATAGCGTAACACTCAGAGCTGTAAATATCCCACAGTTAATCAGATTAAGATTTAATCAGCAACTAGCTGCGCAGGAGCCAGCCTTAAAAGTTTCTGTCTGGGGCAAATTTTCACTCGCAGTTGAAAGGGAACAACAAACATGAGTACCAGCACCAAAACAATGATGCAAAGATTTAACACATAAAAAAAAAATTAAGAAAAAGGTTAAACTGTGCATGTTTAGCAAATGGCAGTACATACACTGAGTATGGCAAAAGATAGGATGCTCACAGGGTCAGGTTCAGCTTTTTAATGTTGCATAACTCAGACGGACCAGCCGAATGAATGATAGCATTTGTGTCATTACGCTGCATTTCACAGGATGAGAGGAAATTCCTCGAGCCAGACTGGCCTCCTCAGCTCTCTCCCTCTGTGATTCAAGCACTTCCTATTGACTCTATAACAACAGCCCTCATCCCCAAACAAGTATTTTCCTTCCTTTCTGCCGTTACTGTATGTCCTCAGCTCCTTTCCTTTCTGCCGAGAGCCTTTTATAGTCGTGCATCTAATTATAGAGCAATTTTCTGGACGTTCTCAGATTGATTTGCAATCTTTTCATCAGCTTGAACTAGAATGAAATCTTAATTACAATCATGGCTTAAAGGACGGATAGTATATGAAAAACAAAAAAGGATATTAAATGATGGTTGAGGCAGTTTTACATAGACTAACCCACAACATCCAACCCCACGAATAAGCTCTGATTTCTTTATTGCACAGTACCAGTAGTCACAAAAAAAATTAAGTTATTAGTAAGTTAGATGATTGTTTGCTTTGCTGTGTCACAGTCCTTATAGTCTATCATTTACCCAAATACTACTGTTCGTGTAACTTAAACTAAACTGTAGCATACACAACTTTGAAATAGAAACTGCTGCTTTTGCTCTATTCTACCTAAATCAAAATCACAGCTTTATTAGGTTAAGTTTTAGTTTATTAGAGAAATCAAGCATGATGAATGAATCCCAAACCTTTTTTTTTTTTTTAAATATAGCAGGGAATTAACCAACTTCTGTTTTCAAGATGGTGAGCCTACAAGACCCCTGCTGGCCTTAAGAGAACACGACAACCTCTAGAGACAAACGGGGTCATTGATCTGCTCCCAGTGTCAGGCTGCCTCAGGCACTGTATGGCTGTATGAAAGTTTGAGACCTTTACATGTTCAGTGTGATATTTTTCTTTCCTGAAAAACCTGATAGATATATATAGAGTCAGACATATGCTTTCACATAAATGCCAGATGTAGACCAAATATATATAAATTAAAGCTGCATATATGCAAATTGATATTTCATTTCCTTTTGTTAATTTGTCAGAAGTTTCAAAAGACACAGATAAAATGAGAGGTGGCATTTATTCATCTTTCATGACTGTGTATCTTAAATACAGCTGTAACAGTTATGTGGAGCTTCAGCAGTCTGTAAATCTGAGTTATATAAAATGTTATTTAAATTATTATTTTGCTAAAGACATAAAAATATTGACCCTGACATTCATTATCACTAAAACACCAGAAATCTAACAGCCAGCGTGATAAAACACGCTGCCTGGAATATTATGCAAGTTGCATCAACAGTGATCGCATTCAGTTATATATACACTCGCTGTCAATCTTCATGGATTTCACAGCTTTGGTCACCAACTGTGAGGACATCAGCTGTGTGTGTTGTTATGGGCCTGAAATAGCGCCTCAGTGAACTGACTCGTGTAGTTGTGTAATAACCCAGTGGCCGTCTGTGCATGGGGACGTGCTGACCCATGACACAGTGCTTCAGAAAAGACTGGTTTAGGCGGCGTCTTCGGCAGAGTTAACTATCTGTCTCAGCCAATAATACTGAGACATGCTCCTCTATAGAGCCAATAAGAATCCCTCTCCACCTTCTTAGTCCTGGTGAGGATAAGCTAGATTAACCTTTTCATCTCCTAAAGAAGATAAGATTGGAAACAGATATTGTGACATATGGAAACTCATTACCTGCCTATAACAACACACACAGCTGATGTCCTCGCAGTTGGTGATCAAAGCCGTCCCTGTGACATCAGTGTCACCGTCCACAGTGAAGTGAGTTTAACATCGCAGTTAACTAAGAGGAACACTGTACCGTGGTACAACCTGTCAAGCATGGTGGTGGTAGCATGATGGAAGCTTGCTGATGGCTACCAAAAGCATCTGGTCGAGGTGTGACGTGCTAAGTGACATTTAACAAAATATTAGTGCAAGTGTATGTATACATTTCACCCTGTGCAGATTAGAGAAAATCCCAAATAAATCCAACCGTGTGCACCCAATTTGCATTAAAAATGCATGCTGTGCAATCATTCACCCTAGAACAAGAACGGTTGAAAGAAATCATTAAAAGCCCCAAATTACCATGATATTCATGCCCATGATGAGCGGATGTAAAGCTTTGATCACAACTGTATGCATATGTGTACGTGTAAGCAGGAAGGAAAGAGATTAAAACCAAAGATTTTAGAACAACAGCTCCAGTCAAATTCATCCAGCAGGAGTATATACACCCATCCAACACACACCCCCTCCTATTATCACCCTGAGCTTTTGACCCCAACTACAAAACAGTAGCATGACATCATCTAGCTGGAGAGTTTCTTCCAGTGAGATCATCATGATGAGACACTGTGCTTTTTTTTTGATCTAGTAGAGTTTGTGTGGGACGTGGCTGGGGGAGGCATACAGTTCCGCCATGCCAATCAACACCCCTCTACCACAACAAGAGGCCCCATTCAGCAGCCTTGGCCCTCAGATCTACCTCAGTCTTAAGCCCCAGCTTCTGCTGTGTGCCGCCTCCAAACCCTGGAATTCCCCTATGCCTTTAGGTTTCCCTTTACAGCAGAGCCATTCATCGTCTACCCACAGAACCGAGACAAGCTGCATAAAACACAAGCTGGCCAGGTTGCTTTCTGTCATTTTACATTTGTATGAGTCAAACATTAACAATAAAGCAGCCAAGCCACAATCTATTATACTAGGTCTCACAGATGATGTGAAAATCAGAGTGCTAAATAGATCCCTCTTGTCCTTGATGAAGACAGAACTGTCAGATGGTCAGACAGCAGCTCTGCAAATGCTGACAGAGTTGTTCCACCTGCCAAACACAGACACCCACCAGCGACACCGCTTCAGAAGCATGCTGCAACTCAGTGGCAAAGCATCCTGCAGTTAGTAGTGATTCAATTAGGCACTTTGGACTGCTGTAGAAACACAGGGACACAAACTCATGCTGCTCCTGAAGAGACATCTTTAAGGGTTGTATATTAGTGATGCTAGTCATGCTTTCTGCAGGGGAATTCACACTGGGTAATGGATTGGTTTAATGGGGGTAACAGTTCATACTTGTTCTCCATCACGTTAAGCTTCCACCTGTTTGATGGAGCTCCTATTGCATGCAAGCAATTTTAAGACAATCAAAGATCAAAAAACAGCGATGCACACGATGGAGATAAATAAACTGAACACAATCATCCACACTGCAAAGATCCCACACATACAGTACATAAACCTCATCAAAGACATAAAATAAATGGTCTGCAAGACTCATAAACTTCCACACAATAATGAACACCATGCAGACTTCGTCTCGCAAGCTTAAATTGTATCCATATGGATGCAAACACAAAAGCAACATCTACAGGCTTAATTAAACACACAACCAAATATTCTTTTTTAACGCAACGTATGCTCCCACCATCTGATAACCAGCCTGCGCCACCAGCCTGCGCCACCAGCCCCGGCACGCTCAGATGTTTTTAATTTCACATTTTACAAATGGAACACACCATTTTAAATTCCTACGCTTGACACTGACTTGTGAGCTTGAATGCACAAAAAGTCAAGCAGAGATTCAAATCC